GTAGAAAGATGTTCCACCATCAGATGTAGAAAGATGTTCCACCATGCTGAATGTATCTCCAACAGCTGGCCACAGCAGAGTCGGTGGTGGACGATCAGAACCAGGAGGAGGAAGGTTCTGGTTTTGAAGAAGCTTTTACAAACACTTTGTTTTTGGAGAGTTTTTAATGAGACACGTAGAATGAAGTGATTTTTCTCTCAAAGACCATCTGAAAGTGGAAAACCTGCTGATTCTTCTGGAGTCCAGAGGGTTAAGCTCGGCTACACCACACTCGTGGTGGTGACTGAGGAAACAACCCAGAATGCATCACTGTGCAGAACACGAGGTTCTGGTGGTTCCCTCCATAAGAAGTGCCGTAGTCTTATATTCAGGCTCACAGCAAATCAGATGACAGATGAAGAAATGCAGATAAAATGATGATAAGGAAACAGATGAAGAAGAAACTCACGCAGCGTGCCCTGCTTCCTGTTCACGCTGGTTGCCATGGCGCCCACCGGCATCCCAGAGGGGGAGGGGCCGTGTGATGCAGCGAGCGGGCCTTTCGTGTCACCAGTCGCTGCTCCTGGTTGGCTGCTGCCTGGCGTCTCTGGCCCCGCCCTCCTGTCCACCTGCCGGCTCCGGTCAAGAAGATCCCGACCAAAGAAGGCCTCCTGACAGAGACAGCCAATCAGAGCGTAGGAATTCATTTCAGTGTGTGTCTGTGTGTGTTACTGTGTGTGTGTGTTACCTGTAGATAAGAGGGGAATGCCTCCTCCAGCTTCGTCTTCTTCTTCCTGTACCTCTTCTTCACCTTCTCCATCACCTGGTCAGCAGGGGGTGCTGTCTCCATGGTAACGTCTGCGTCCAGCAGACCTGATGAGGACATCGTTTGGTCAGTATATGTCTCCTGACCAATAAAAATCAGGGGGCGTGGCCACAGGTACAGGTGTCTCACCTTCGTCTCGACCCAGCAGCGTCTCTGATGAATCTTTCCTGCTTAGTTTGATTCTGCTTGGACCGGCCTTCCCTCCACGCTGACGTACCATGAAGCCCCCGATACCTGAGGCAGAGAGACAGGTGGGTGGAGGTGCAGGTAGAGACAGAGAAGGTAGAGACAGGTAAACACAGGTACTGAGGCTGTCCTCTGATGTCCAGGTGTATTATCTGACCCCGCCCTTCCTCACCAGGCCTGTAGGGTTTCCTCTTCCTCTTCTTGTTGCCATCGGTAACCTCAGGCTCCTTCAGGACATCATCATCGTGGGCGTGGTCTCGCTCAGGGCTGGAGTCAGATTTCATGTCGCACTCCAAGTCACCTGGACAGAAGACAGAGTCTTTCAGCAGTTTTATTAACTTAATTCGTTTTATTTATTTTAGTTCTTACAAAACTTAATCCTGTAACGTACATT